AAAAAAAAAAAAATTGTACCAAAAAAAAAAATCAAAATCGAGTTTGAAATGTTGGATACTCGGTCAAATTTTTTAAATAAACAATTAGCTGATTTTCGTACCAAATTAGCTGACCGTCAATAATAATCCTCGCAGAACAATGAAAATTTAAAATAAATATATAACTTTGCTTCAATTTGCTTTTAGGTAAAGAGCGTAGTACTACTGAATGTAAATTCAACTAAAGAACCCCATCCATCATCGTTTTTCTTCTGCTTCATTCACAGGCTACGAAGAAGAATTCCCTCAAACGTGATCCCAGGCCCAAATGCCAAGCCCAGACCCCACTCCTCACCTCCCTCTCCCTTCTCCTTCAGCTCATCCCTCATATACTCCATCACATAAAATATAGTATTACTGCTCACGTTCCCGAAGTCCATCAAGGCCCGCCTACTGCAGCTCAGCTTCTCTTTCTCCAGGCCCAATTTACTTTCGAGCTTGTTCAGTATTGCCGGCCCACCAGGATGCACTGCCCAGAACAACTCATTATACCCTTGGCCCACTAGCCCACCTTTCTCCATCACCTTTCTGCAAAACTCCTCAATGTTGTCTTCAATTTTCTGAGGCAAATCCCTGCCCAGCTTGAAATAAATTCCTTCCTCCGACAACCGGCCGTCGATGACGCCGCTCGTGTCCGGTAAGAACTGCTGCATCGCGTGATTGAGCTCCATAAAGGGTCGCTCGTTTCCGGTGGGGTCGGACCCGATGACGACGGAAGCCGCGCCGTCTCCGAACAGGGCCGCGCCCACTAGGTCGTACGGCCGGGCCTTGTTCGGCGGCCTGAAGCCCAGTATGGTGGTCTCCGAGGTCGTGAGCAGCACGCGGCTTCCGGGGTTGTTCTCCGCTATGTCCTTGGCCACCCTCAGCCCTGCGCCGCCGCCGGAATTATTGTTCAGAATAAATAAGTACGTCTCCGTTATAAATTACTATTCACCATGACAACAGACTTTGCAATTTGATAATTTTTTTTTTTTTTTATATTATAATTGAAAATCGCAAATGTGGAGGTGAGGGGCTTGCCTGTGACGCCGCCATAGCAGCCGAGAAAGTAGAGCATGACGCGGCCAATGTCGTTGTTGAGGCCGAGCTCGTTGGCCAGGTGGAGGTCGCCGCCAGGTAGGCGGATCTCGCTGGACGAGACATAGACTATGTGGGTGATGTCGGATTTGGGCCGGGCCCAGTTGTTGAGGCAGGCCCAACTGGCTTCTGTGGCCATCTTGAGGACAGCTGGGTTGGCTATGTCGAGCCGCTGCTTGATGGTGGGTGAGCCTTCTGTGGCGAGCTCCGGGTATTGGGTGAGGATTTCTTTGGACATAACTGTGTACCTTGTTTTCACTGTTGTGGTCTTGCCTGTCAAAAACAGAGAATTTATAATGGAAGCAACAATTTTGTGTTAGTTAATTTACTTTTGATAGGAAGATTAAACCGGGTTTGTTACCGTTTGATCTAACACACACATACATTACTTTTACTATACACGTGTGTTTTGATCCAATGGTAATCAACGGTAAGGGTGAAATCTTCCCTTTTTTCGACAATCATATATATTATAAGCTTAAAGGGCAAAATCCATGTATTGTGTTGTTTATCATGAAATTTCTATGTGGCATTGTTGTGTGTTTTTGAGGAAAATAATGGGAGCTTACAGAGGCGCTCGAGTTTCTCCTTAATGGCCAAGTCATCGCATTTGGTGTCGCGAATGTAGCCCTCGACCAAGAATTCTTGAGGGACAATTTGGCTAGGGAAGGCTTTGCCAATTGCAAGAACTGTAGCTTTTCCGGGAGTTGCCATTCGGGTCTGTGGTGGTAGATTTTGGTTTGCTTCACTAGTATTGCTGTTGAACTGCGACATGGCTGCCGAAAAGGAAATGAAGATGAATCTTAAGTATAAAATTATGTGTTGTGTTGTGTTGTGTGTGTGATGATTTGATGAAGTTTAGGGCGAGTATAAATGGATTCTTAGTATTGTGTTTGGAGAGTGGTTGGTGTTGAGGGAAATTAGCATGACACATTAAACAAGTGACATGGTTTGTTAGATTGCTTTTTTTTTTTTTTTATCGGCTCATATATTCTTTGTGATACATTGGGTTTGGATGATGTGAGAGATTTTCAGTTAGATTCATAGAAACAATCTTTGTACTTTCTTCGACATGTATTATTCCTTCTTTCAGATTCCTTTGAGGCTTGATCATTTGTTTAGGAATCATGATGAGTGTCAGGTCTAGTCCAGTGTTAGAACTATATATCAATAATCAAAGTACCTCATGGATGTAAACAAATAGCGCGCCCCTCGACCATGTATCTGCAGCCTCTGCTGCTGGTAGATTGATTGCCTTATATGGACTTGGGGATGCAATTGAGCAGGGTAGCGAACAACCAGTTCACACGAACAGTAGATTGATTGCCTTATATGGACTTGGGGCTGCAACTGAGCAGGGTAGCGAACAACCAGTTCAGATATTCACGAACAAAAAGTATTGGATTCTCTATCGGATAAGCCCTGAAAGGAGAAGGAAGAGTGGAATGTCAACCGGCATCTATTATTGAATTGACCGGATAGTACCCGTTTTGGGAACGTCCAGTGCCAAAGTGATTGAATGGGCAAGTCGCCAATCCCCAGAGAAAATGAATGTACATCTCGATTAACAATTACATAGGACATCAATTTACTCTCATCTTTTGGATAATGATTGTGACCAAAAAAAGTCGGGTAAAAATAATTTTGCATAATTATTTTCATATATAGTCCAAATAAATGGGTATCGATTGTTGTTCAAGACGTACAAGTAATTGAAGCATATGCAAAGCAATTCATAAGTGATTACTCGAGGTTTCTAAGCTTTTTTTGCGAGCTAACGACTCATCAGCTCATTGATTCTATTACATAGCATCATCATTCATATTTTTCTCAGGAGATGCCATGTTTTATCTTTGATTAATGTTCACAAATGGGGTTAATAAAGAATATCAACTTGTATTCTTAACATACCCTATGTGGAGTCAATAACCTTTGATTATTGATTTATAAATTCCATTTTAAATCCAACATTGATAGGCATTTGAAACGCATATCCAGTCATAATCGCGGTCGACTTTAGTGTAGTACTAAAAAATTAGGTGCAAAATGTCCATCAATCTATTCTTTCAACATCATCTTCCATGTAAGATTTAGCCCACCGAAACATATCTATCATCACGACATAAATACATAATTAACATATCAGACAGAATCATCACATTCATACACATCACAGTTGCGATTTATTTACATGAAAGCATGTCCATATCATGAAAACCTTAATTTTGTTACCAAGCAATTATTATGAACGATTTTGGAAACTCTTGCGTAACACAAGCATGTATAGACCCAAAGGAAAAGATTTAACACTATGACCTCAAATAAATCAAGAATATTTGACACACACACACACACACTACACAAACCAAGTGGTGATCCCATGGCTAATTCTAAAGAATTTATCAAGATCCCAATCTTTGACCTCTCTACAAAAACATTAAACCCCACGTCAGCTTCATGGCTCGCGGATTGTAAGAAAGTGAGACGTGCTCTTGAAGAGTACGGGTTTTTCTTGGCACAGTATAAAGACGTTTCGTATGAGCTAGACAGGCAGGTGTTTTTAGTACTGAAGGAACTATTTGATCTGCCACTCGAGACCAAAACTAGAAACACTTCGGACTTAGTTTTTTACGGGTATGTGGGACAATTGCCTCATGCTCCACTCCATGAGAGCATGGGGATTCCAGAGGCAACCACCATTGATGCTGTTCAAAGCTTCACAAACCTCATGTGGCCATCGTCAGGAAACAAGTCATTCTGGTATGTAGTCTAAATCCCTACTCCTTAAGTCAATAAAAGGGGAAAGAAGAGAACCGAGCAGAGGTAAATATATATAGTGTTCTACTAACGTTCCTTAGACTTAGGTCATGTTTGGTAAACCTAGCTGATAAGCTAGCTTACAACTTTTAAGTGAAATTCGAGCTTATAGCTAATAGTTTATGAGTTATGACTTATGGCTGAAAAGCTAGCTTATATGAAAAGCTAGTTTATGAGTTTATGAGCTTAAGAAGCTCGTCCTACCAAATCAAGCTTATTTGAATACAAGAAGCTTATAAACTGACCAAATAACCTATAAGCTTAGCTTATATGCTTACCAAACACACCCTCAGTTTGAATCTTTATTTGTATTTTTTATTTCAAGGTTTTATTGTAGGATCAGTCAGGATGTTCCACAGGAGTTTACCTTATCTATTTTCACATATCTTACCATGTATTTCCTAATCGAGTAAAAGCTAAAGTTGAGTTGTACTCCGAAGAAAAAAAAAAAATATGAAACATACAAGTGTTTGAATCGACCGGTCAACGATTGGTCTGTCTTTCACAGCCCTAAAGGCATCTTGCAACATGACACGAAATCAAACAGAAATAAATAACCACCATGAACTAGAGTTCACTTTTACTATGATTTTGACATAGGTTTCAAGCTTTGGCTCATCTCCACATTTTGCAGTGAAAGCATACATTCCTATGCAAAGCTAGTTTCAGAGCTGGAAAAAAAAGTGGACCGAATGGTTTTCGAAAGCTATGGGGCACAGAGACACTATGACAATCATATTGGATCAACAACGTACCTCTTAAGAACCATAAAGTATTTGCCTCCGCACGCTAACAATGAGGGCAATAATGTGGGGACCAATGTCCACACAGACAAGAGCTTTTTGTCCATACTTCACCAGAATCAGGTCAATGGCTTGCAAGTGCAGCTGAGGAATGGGGAATGGTTCTCCGTGGATGTCCCTACTGGAGCATTTGTGGTCATGGCTGGTGATGCTTATGAAGTATACTCCATGTCCTCTAAGAGCATTTATTTCACATTAGTAATGCTATGTTTGGTGAACCTAGATGATAAGCTAGCTTATAGCTTTTAAGTGAATTTTGAGCTTATAGCTGATAGCGTATGACTTATGGCTGAAAAGCTAGCTTATATGATAAAAGTGTTTGGTAAATTAGCTGAAATAAAAATTTCAATGAGCTCTTATAAGCTCGAGCTTTTAAAAAAGCTCGTCCTACCAAACCAAGCTTATTTGAGTACATGAAACTTATAAGCTAATCAAATAAGCTATAAGCTAGCTTATATGCTTTCCAAACACAACCTAAAAGACTATAATACCCCGACTGGTATCATTGTGGTTTATAGGTTCATCTAGCTAGGATACTGAAAGTTAAATAGACAATACATTTAATATGCAGAATGTTTTTTCAATATCCTGTTATCAGCTAAGTCTTCACCTCCCCTTGGTTTTTATCTGTTTGAAATATTGTGATCAAAGGCATGGAGCAATGGGAGGATATTTGCAGCCAAGCATCAAGTGTTTATGAAAGGGGACCAGCCCAGGTATTGTCTGGCACTATTTTCTTTCAACCGTGGCACCACCTATATACCTGAAGAGCTGGTGGATTCTGATCATCCTCTGCAGTATAAGGCGTTTGATAATTTCGGGCTGGCCCGGTTCTATCTCAGTGGTGCAACTCAGATGACTGAGAGCACTGCCAAGGCCTACTGTGGTGTTCCTATCTGAAAGCTATTGGGTGCTTCTTGTGTGTGTGATAAGCTTGTGACTTAGATGTTTTCCTACAATTATTCTGAACATCTTATGTAAGTACTTCACACTATGCTATGCTCCAAAAGTATTTTACATGATGTTTTAAACAATTCGAACACAGGAGTAATTATGGCATTTAACTATGAATTAAGCGGAGCAAGAGAAGAATGCAGAATGAAAATTGCAAGAGCTACTTTTGCGGTTTAGCTTAACAATTGAAGGGAAAGAGAAAAGAGAAACCAGCCATCTTTTGAAACTACAAATTTCTCATTTGGCATTTACAAAACTTACAGCAATTATATGTTGCAAGTTTATCCGTTAACTGTGTAGAATTTTCAAAAGAAAGAGTTCTTGGTGATTTTGGAAAATTAATGGAACTTTGTTGTAATTATGCTTAAATTAAAATGTAGTATATAGTAGTGTTTGCAATTGTTACAGAATACTATACAATTAAAAAAACAAGCATTAGCATGCTCAGTCAAGCATAAACAGGCTCCTAATCTCCCACAGGGCTGTGTGTGTATGTGTGTGTGTGTGAGTGACTTGATGTCTCATGTACAATTAATTAGCCTCAAGTGGCAACTGCTATACAAAATTCTTGACATCACTATTAAAAAAAAAAAAGTATATGTCAACATATGCCTCTATAACTTCTATTTTAATAATTTGTGTTCAATCATGACATCAAATCTGATATTGAACACATGTATAATCAATTAGTCGTTAATCACAAATTAATAACTGCCATCTTTTCAATATATACACATGTATACTAGTACATACACATTAAAAAACAATACAAATATTTATATCAATACAACAAAAGAGCCTAATATAATCACTAGAAGCAGTTATCAGGTAATCAGCATTTAACAGATGCCAATGCCAACAAACAGTAAGAGGTGCCTAGAAGAAATACAAATAGTACATGCAACCATAAGAATCGGTACCAGAGTACATGTTAACTTTAGTCAAATGTCCCGTAGACTAGTGCAGTAATGCTTCAAGCCGCACGTCGGTAATAATAACTGCATAAAAAAGGAATTGGCTTAGTATCCACTTATCAGGATTTCACGTACACACATATTGATATTATCCAACTGACGTAATTGCAGAACATGTTGATTATTTAGCTGACAAAAGAAACGTACACATAGAAATTCATGCTGTACATAGCAGCATATTTTCGCAGAAGGCGCTCGACAGTGTACCATTCTGAACGATCTGAAGTGCCTTGATAATTAATCCGTGGCATGTGGATCGAAGCTGTCAAAATTATCATAAATACAATTTTTTTTTAAAAAAAAAAACCACGGTAAAAGTTCCTGGTGATGAGTTGAAACGGGAGCTTCCAGTCTATGAAAAGAGACTAACTTTACCTGAATGTTGAGAAGCTGAAAACGATGCTTTTGCAAGACAAAGTTCCAAATCATCGATAGAGATGCCACTGCGGGGGACTTTACGCCTAGGATTGTATGACTGCACAACAGCTAAAGCTGCCCATTGGGGAGCATTAGTCTGAGTACTCAGGTGACTGTTGTCCTCTGTAGGAAATTGGTAGCAGTAAAGAATAATCAGGCAAAGTAAAAGTAAAATGGTAATGAAGTCAAAGCACAAAAAGAACATTAATTTAAAAAAAAAAAATTGTACGAGATGGCCGAAAGAAAGTAAAAAAATGTGTACGAGATGGAATGTGTCTAAATTGATCATAATATTTAATCATGAAAAAAAAAAAAAAAAAGCTGGTAAGACTTGAATAGATGGCCGAAACTAACCAGTTATTTGTACGAGATGTAGGTCACCCAGATGGAGATCCCCAAATTCTGAAGCTCGCTCATATGCATTTGGAACTGCAGGTGACAGCCTGGCCAGAGCATCAAACAGGCCTCCATGACCCCAGTTTCCAGAATTATCAACACAGCTGCTTAGAACATTTCAACATGTCAAATTCTATCAAGCATAACAACTGGAAGCCTGAAACAGTGAGAAAGCCATCACCCAGTATGAAAGGCCGACTGTAAATTATTAAAAGATTATATTCCTTTCTACATAAAGGCCTCAGACTACTGCATTTTTAATGAGTTTTGACCGATCACGTTACTAAGAATTAAAACACAGATAGTCATACACCCTCTTCATCAATACTTGATTTTTCTCCCGAATATAAAATTGCAGAAATTCTTTTGGGCAACTAAAGTGAACCTGAATATAATAGCAGGTTCTGATGGACAAACTGTGGCAGTATCCGTGCAGTCCCCATAAACAAAATGAACTGAACCAGAATTTGACATCACATCGTGCTCCGTGGGCCCCTCTGGGATGCTGACAGACAATGAATGATATCCTTGAGCTTCCCATTTAGATAACTTTTTCTCCTCAGCCTTCTTGCGGGAAGCTTCGGATTTAACGTTCTTCTCATCAGGCAATCGTCTCCTATTTCCTGATTCCAGTATATCACCCCCATCACCAGGTGTCGCTTGCTTGAACTTTTCCACCCACGAAATATATGAAGCCTCATTGAGTGTGGTACTAAAGTCGATAGGTTGAATATCCTCATTCATGACTATGTCTTTACCATCCGACTGTAAATCTTGGCGGGAGGCAATGACCTTTTCAGCCAAAGCACTCATTTCCCCTGAATTTAATTGATCGTCTGATTTTGCATTTTTCATTTCCATAGGATCAAAAACATGCAGACCAAACACGATAGATTTCAGATCACCAGCTTCAGCTCCTCCATTATTATTTATCTCATGATCTGCGTCGTTGTCGCCTATGACATTATGACTCAGCTGTAACTTCCTTTGTGCTCTACGCATGATAACCTAGATCATGTTTCTGTTAAGTAAGCTTTGGGAAAAATAAGGAATCAGAAAAAAGGTTTATCTAATCTCATTACCTCCTCGATTGTACGCCCAGTGACCAAATTAATGGACAGTACATGATTGCTTTGGCCGATTCTGTGTGAACGCTGCAGGGCCTGCTTATCCACTTGGGGATTCCAATCTTGCTCGTAAAATATGACCTACAAAGCGTTAAATGCTTAAATTTTTCAATAACACTACAAATAGCCCAGGAAAATGAAAAACATACTTTTAAGTATAATATATATCAAAGGCTTAAGTAATTCCATGGTTATTTTCAATATCAGTATACCATTTTGCATCGTCCTAGAAATCAACGGCTCACGAATGTCCAGGCATTACGAATAAAACACGGTCGAGCAAGAAATAACAAAAAAAGCTTTTAAAAAGTTATTACTGTATCAGCAGCCACAAGATTTAAGCCCACTCCCCCAGCTCGTGTAGAGATCAAAAAGACAAATGGTTTAATCTGTTCGTTATCATCATCAGCAGCAGTTTTTATTGCAGATTTTTTGCTAAAACTTCTGATTGCAGCAAATCTCTCCTCTGCTCGAATTGAACCATCAAGACGCTCATAAGTGAATTTCCTCATTTCTAAAAAGTCCTGCATGATATACACTTACAAAATGTCCAGAGTGTATCGAGGCTTGCAATAAATACAAAGAAAACAACAACTGACCTGTAATATATCGAGTGTATGAGTCATCTGAGCAAACAGAAGAACACGATGCCCAGAGTCGTATAGCTTCTGAAGTAGCTGATCCAAAATTAGAAGTTTACCACTAGCCTGATGAAATATAAAATGAAATTAAACATCTTCTTAATCATCACACACTACCACCAAAATGGTGGAAGAAGAATATAGAGTGAGAAAATTGTCAAAAGACAGACAAAGAGTGCCTTCATTTCAAATGAATGATTAAATGTATTATCCCATTATCTTGGTAATGTTTAGCATAAGGCAACTGTAAATGGTTGGATTCATTTTAAGCCCTCAGACATAAGATACATCTCTTTCAACCAAAATACTACTGAAGTAGTAGTCTAACTACCTGAACCAGATGCTCGCCTTCCTGATACGGTTCGGGCTCAATACCTGGGAAAAGGTATGGGTGACTACATGCTTTCCGAAGCTGAATTACCTGCAAGAGAATTAGAATATACCAGCATCTGAATTTTCACCATGAAAGCCATTTGGTAGCAACAAGTACAATACTCAATGAAACATACCAAACAGGAATAACCTAATGTAGAAATATATAACTGCTTACAATATTTTGCAACGACTGTGCATTAGAAGCTCCCGAAGCAAGTGAAACCAACTTGGGGAGTTCCTTCCTCAGTATAGATACATAAACCTTCATCTGTAGAGAAGTCAAAGGAGTCATTCTGTTGACAAAGAATGATGCTTAGCCAAAATCCAATCGAAGTCGAAATGCAGCTTTAATACGTACAAATATCACCAAGCTCAGTCAACTCAAAACCCACTTAACCAATAAAAAGAAAAAAAGAGATAAGAGCTAAGCAAGAAGCTGACACAGTAATTTCGGTAACAGGGGGCAGCAGCAGAGTTCCAGACTCCATAAGTTTAGACTTGGTCCTCCGAAGCATGAATGCCCCAAGCACGTATTTTAAGATCTTAAATTGTTCTTTCTTTTTTGCTGCATCTTGACCTGCTTCATGAAGTATTAACATTTAATATGGAACTATATTTTAACCCATTATCGTTGAAGACCATGGCATTTGCACATCAATTTGTCAGATATTTGAGTCACAGCAAGAGAAGTATGGCATTCTGAGACATATAAATGTATGCAGATGATAACTTTACATGAAGGATCTCCAGCTTCCTTGAAGTAAGATAAAAACTGCTCTAGCTTTCCAAAAATCATAGGCATACAAAAGTGCATCAAAGCCCAAAGCTCGGCGAGATTGTTCTGAATGGGTGTTCCAGTCATTAGCAATTTTCGTGGCATGATAAACCGGTCTCTTAGAACGGCATATAGAACCTGTTGGAATTTTGCCAAGGAGAAGCCTGTGATAGCAGCTTAAGGAAAAAAATAAAACAAAGGAGAATGCATGAATCAGAACCAGCTGATCAAACTATCTTATGTTTAATACATACACTGGAAGGATTCTTGAGTCTCTGTGCCTCGTCAATTATTGTGTAATGCCATTGGAATTGCGAGAGGAAGTCCTGATCAATCAATGCTATGTCATAAGTTGTCAAAAGCACATCGAATGGCAATACTGGGACCTGTGAAAAACGAAAAAACAGAATGTGAAGAATAAAATTGACAAGATATTACCTTCAAATTTGGGCGTATATATTTTCTATCAACACTAGACAGAATGTGTACTCACATGCATCTTGTTGACATATTCATGCATTTCACAACGCAGTTTACGTCTATGTTCTTTTTCTCCAACATAACGAATCAGTCTCAGTTTTGGAGCAAAGATGGCCACTTCAGACACCCAACCATCAGTCACACTAAGAGGGCACAACACCACTGCATGTCGCATTCAAAATCTTACAGTGGCCGTTTTAAATATGTAATTGCAGAAATAGGATACCCCATAATAAAAGTATCTAATAAAGGTAAACTATATACTCAATTACTCACAGAATGGACCAGGGGACTTCCGACATATTTTGAGATAACTCAAAAGAGAGATAGCCTGTAGAGTCTTCCCCAGTCCCATCTATAGGAAAATCATTTGCAAAAAGAGAAACCATTAAGGCGTACAGCAACCAAAAATGCCCTGATTTTCTTAAACCCTTAAATTAGGCCCTTTATTCCGATTTACTGAACATAAAGACAACTGAAGCATCCAAGTCATCGATATTTCTCAGTCTAATATAGAAGCACTGTAATGCCTCAAAAAGATGTAATTCTACTGAGTTCAAAATGCATAGATAGAAAGATCTAGCCAAACTTGACTACTGCACCACACCACATAAACTTTCTGGACTCTGAAATATCATAGAAACAACATAAGTTCGAAGACCATCACTCTTTTCAACACTACAAGCACTTCAAAACACGAAAATGTAACTTTATTTGTTAATGTCAAATCCAAGAAACTAATTCGGGGGACCTTACAGCTTCTCCTTCGCCAAATTGAAGCTACAAATTCCATTGGAGTTAATGTAATTCAGTATTATGCTAATGCTCTTCAAATATCAACGACAACAGCTCCCACAATTTAGTCTTAAACATGACATACACAGTGACCAGGCTATTGAACACTCATATACCACAGATATGACTCGATTCCCGCCACCTGTCACCTTCCAATGCCAGTACAATATACTTTGAAAGAAAGAGCAAAGAACTCACCTCGTCCCCTGCAAGAGAAATTAATAACAATAATAAGAAAATAACCGACAGAAAATCATATAAAAACCTCTGAACAACATTAGATGCACATGATTTCTTTAACTACCGAGTATGACGTTGACTCCGAGATGGTACCGCCGGATGAGCCACGAGACTCCTTCGACTTGATGGGGCTTGAGCTCCGCCGTTATCTCGATCTCGGAGGTGTCGAAGCGTGCTCCCTCAGCGGCGCGTGAGTCCCCGTCGTGGACGCACCTCGCTGCCACGATTAGTCTCTGCTTGTAGTCCATGTTTTTCGCCAGCGCCGGCGGTGGTCTGGAGTTTTTGGAGTTGCAGACTTGCAGTTCGGTGGAAGGTTTTTTAAAATTCTGGGTCAATGACTCTAATACCCTCGCTTATAGCGTGACAAAGCACATGGTCTTTCAGCGAGAAGCATTTGAGCGACGTGTGTTAGAGGTGTTTACGGTTTGGTTTTAACGGAAAAAAATCGTTAATTCGGACCGCAGATCGGTTCAACGGTCGGTTAAAAAAATCTTAAAAAATTCGGTGGTTAATTTCTGTAAAAATCCGAAATAACCGGTCTGGTTAACGGATTACTTGCGGTAAACCGCCATTTTAACGGTACCGGACCAGTAAATATTAAAAACTTATAAAATATATATATATATATATATACACATTTAGTCATTCACTATGGCCGACAAATACAATACATTCACTTTCACTTTTTGGCCTTTTGTTGACTTAATTTTGTAAGACACTATAACTTTTCACTTTTTCCCACTTTCCTTTTTTCATTTTCAAATTTTCTCACCTTCTCTTCCTAATTTTTTGGGACGAAATGTGTATTTTTATGCTTATTGGACGAATTGTGTATTTTTTATTTTATTATTATTGTTTTTCTTAATTTTTAGGCCCAAATAATCTCTTTTGTGTCCAAAATTAAAAAATAAAAATTAAACCCAAAATGGAAAAAACAAAAATTGAAAGCCCAAAATAATAATTTTTTATTTAACCGGTTAACCGCCAAACCAAACTGTCCAATGCGGTCCGGATTGTGACCAGTTAAAAAATAAAATCGGTCCGGTTATGGACAAGAAAAAAAATTAACCGTTAGGTCTGATTTGGTCATGGTTTGAGCTAAAACCAGACCAATCCAGACCGTGAACACCCCTAACGTGTGTCGTTGTAAAATTATTTAATTAAAATAATCAATGTTACTGTACCTAGTTAGCAGCTGCTTTTTTTTTAAAAAAAAACACATGATGATTAATATTGGTTCCCCAATTCTCCTCCCAGTGACTCGAACTCGAGTTATAGGATACTCCGAGCGAGGTATGCGCCACTGCGCTAAACCCTATTCGTCACCTAGTTAGCAGCTGCTTAACGACACATGTTGTATGATCTTATTGGCGTGGTTTACTCGCACCACCGGGGGTGATCGAGCATTAACAGCTTTGCTTTCCATTTGATGTACCAAAAAAAAGGACAAATGTTGTAAATTGTGTGATTAGTATTACTGATTATCTTTTAAACAAATAAAAGAAAATAATGGAAAAGGGTATAAAAAAAGAGAAAATAGAATGAGGGAAAAAAAATAAAAAATCACAGAGTCATCCCTGTAATTCGCACCATTTCTTCTGTACGGACCTTCACATCTCTAAAATGTCATTGATACACACACACAAAATTTTTGTTTATTTATATGTAGCAGAAATTTATGGTCTTATTGGGAGTACCGTTTGTAGGTTTCACGCTGACGATTTTTTTATGTGAATATTTGAATGTGTGTTAATCGGTGATGGTTAGAGATGGCGGAGGGGACTTACGTTAAGCTGACCAAAGAACAGAAGCCTTTGCAGAACATCACCCCCGGCGAGTTAAATGAGCCGATCAATGTTGCAGAGGTACCCACCGATTTCCATTTTCCTTGATTTAATCGGTAAACAAAATACAGGACGCTTTTCATTTTTTTTTTTTTCTTTCTTTTCATTATCTTGGTATCGTCGCTTGAATTTAATGTCGCTGTATTCATCGTTTTGACAATTGATTTTGTGATTAGTCGTTCATCTTGAGTGTTGCATCATTTACGAGTCTCTGGTTTGTTTGAGCAAGAAAATGGGATCATTGGTATCTTAATTTTGGTGATTAGAAATGAAAGAAGGTATAATTTGTGCACAAATCGAGGTTCATTTTGATTCTATATGGTTACAACTCAATCAATGATCACTTGATTCGAAAGTCCGTGTCATTAGAATTGTGGATGGTTGAGTTTTTGTTCTTTTAGAGGAGAGAGAGATGAGAGCTGTAATCTAAATGGTTTGAGATGCAATTGATATTTCTTTGGATCATGGAGGTTCGCCTGTACTATACGAAGGATTTATGTGCACTGGTGATCGTTTTTACACTTTGATCAGTCATCAGAAGGTCCTATGCATTTGATTATGTCTATATTTTTATTATTGTTTTTTCTTTCAATACTACTTGTGTATAGCTGCCTGGTGTAGTGTACAAAGTATTAGTGGGATTATTGCTTATTGTCCATCATATCTGATTTGTAGATCTGAAACGTAGGTCGTCAAATTTCATATTAACGGTTCTGATGTTAAAATGAAGTGGAGCTTTCTATGTTTTTGTATATATTTTGAAACTATATATTTTAGGATGTTACATTATGGGTTTCCGTAACAGTTAAACGCTCCTAAATGCGAACAATGTGGACAAACTTTACCACCAACCTACTCACCCCCAGCTGATGAAGACTGGATGACAGGCATTTTCGAATGTACTGAAGATCATGAAAGTTGTAAGTCCGCATTACCTTGTTTGTGTTCTTCTGAGCAAATCCTAGCAAAAGTTTCATATTCTACCTCCATGAAAATTTTGATATTGTGATATGTATTTTTACCAATTTATGACGAGCACATTACTGAACAGAAGTGTTGAGCGAGTAACTGGCTATACTTCTCTTTTTCTTTCTGCTGAAGAATGGTGTGTCAATGCAATATTTGTATGAAAATGAATTTTAAGTGCAGTTGGGCATGGAAAGAAAATATACTGATTTTAAATGGTAAAAACAAGAAAACGATCGAGTATGATTAGTAGTCTAGTGATTATTCTCTGGAAGAAGTGAGATAATGTAGTGCACTCTTGGAAAACTTCATAACACTTGCATCCGGGGACAAAATAATTTACTTGAATAAAAATATCACATGCCATTCAATCAAACTACTTCTTTCATGTATCATATATTTCATCTGGTTTGAGTAACATGATTTGAACATTAACGAGACCGTATTGTCGATTCCAGGTCTGACTGGTCTATTCTGTCCTTGTGTGCTATTCGGGCGTAATGTGGAAACCTTTAACGACAACATAACTCAACAAAGTGCGTGCATTGGTCACGCAATATGTGTCGAGGGAGGTATTGCCCTTGCTGTCGTTACAGCTACATGCCATGGTATAGATCCTGACACCGCTTGCCTTCTTACCGAAGGCTTACTGTTTGCCTGGTGGGTTTGTGGCATCTACACCGGCATGGGTCGACAACTGTTGCAAAGGAAATATCATCTCAAGGTGATTTTCATTTTTCTTGAAGTTCTTCTTTAACTATATTTGTATGTATGTTATTTTCAGAAACTAATCTTTTATTTTTCGGGAGAGTTTTCCGAATGAACTTCTTTTCTTCAACTATTTTTCGTGTTTCTGTATAGTACGTTAGTATTGAATACTTGATTGTTACACATATCTGCAAGATTCTTCAATATTACATTATCAATTTATTGAGAAATTCGTTCAAGTGGTTGGAAAAGTCGAGAACAAAGTTATCACTTCATTATCTGCTTCACAGTATTCTATTTGTTCGCATTTCGTCACTAGAAAAAAAATAAAATAAAATTATGTTTGGGTTTGCAGAACTCGCCTTGTGATCCATGCATGGTGCATTGTTGCCTCCATTGGTGCGCAATTTGCCAAGAGCACAGAGAGATGAAACATCATCTTACGGATAATATCTCACCCGAGGCCACAGTCATAGAACCTCCGGCAGTGCAAGAAATGAGTGCGGTCGAGCAACACATGAAGCCTGAGTCATCTTCTTCGTCTTCTTCTTCACACGAGGACAACAATAACAATCTTCAACTACAGACCGTGACTCTTTAACTTACTATTTTCCATTCATGTTTTTCGTTGACCCTCTGAAGTATTGTTTGATACTTTTGGATTCTGTGAACAATAGTTCATCTCAAGAACGGTAGAACGATCTTTTCATTGTTTCCTTTTTCAAATACATTTTTCAATTAAACACAATTTTTGTGATTGATGTGATTGTTTCTGAATTGATCACTTTGTATTGTAGAATTAGATTAAAATTGAAATAAATTAAAAACAAAATAAGATGACATTGAACAAAACAAGTAGCAAGACCGTATAACTGAAGTCGTCAATTTTATTCACACCTCCCATGTTCTCATACAATCATTTATGTACATATATATACCTTTGAACACTACGAAAAATGTTGTCTCTACAAATTCCGAACTGTTCAAAACTGAATCAATTTATATATATATTAGTAAAAAAATAATAAGTGGACAAAATACAAAAAAAAAAGGGAGTGGACCAACATAAAAAACACATATTCCTTGAATACGTTTTCTGTATAATTTAATTGAAAAACGTATTCACTGAATACGTTTTTCACATTTTTTTTACAAAGGAAAACCTATTCACAAAATACGTTTTCCAAATAATTTTTTCAAAAACCGTATTCAAGGAATACGGGCTTTTGATTCTTTTCCACCTCTTTTTTTTTTTTTTT